CATTCCTGTCGGCGCTGAATGTGAAAAACGTATGGTGGATAAATTGTCCGAACACATTAAATCAGTGTTAGTAACAGGCATCGAATTGTGCAGAGAGTTTGGGCTAAAATGGCTAGACATAACAAAGGAACTTGTTTTTTTTAAAAAAATGACAGGTCGAATGTAGCCTTCACTTCTTCATTAACTTTGTTTTTGCAAATCTGTGCTGACTTGTTAGAACTACCAGTACTGTAATAAGGGAATGGTACACAAAGAAAAACAGAGCATAATTACTCAGCTCAGAGATTTCTTAAATACCCCATGCTTCATTCTTCAGATAGAAGTCAGCAAATTCAGCCCCAAACATTTCTACAGGGAAGGCAAACAAACTAAACAAACTAAAAACTCAACAAAAGAATGAAAAAACACCTTTTAATATTTGTTTCTGTTGCCACTTCCTCTACAATGATGACCTCATCTGCCAAGCTTTTCATTGGCTAGAGAGTATTTTAAGTGAATTAAGGAGACTTAGGAACAATGAGATGTTGGGTAAATTCTTAACGTCAGAAATACTGTCCCACCTCCAAAATCCCTCAGATCTTCAACTGCTGACAAGCTATGGTTTGCTTTTCGCAGCCACCTCAGGAACCTGTGATCTCACTTTTCTCAGAACCCTGCAGGAGGTATTTTCTGCTATTAGTTATACCTAAGTCATATACCTTTAAGGTATACATTGAGTATACCACTTAAGTTGTACACTTAAGTTGTACAAAAAACGTGTGTCATGTTTGTGTTGGTGAAGACTTTCTCTTGTTTAAATATCATCTACTCATGAAGATTATAAACTCCTTGAAGGTGGTAACTTACACTGATTTTATCCTCCCAGCAGTCCTCTGCTCACATTGATTAGTCCTCAATGGATGTCTGATGCTTGAGTGATGGAACACTTAGACCGGCTTTTTCATGTGGGCTTACACTCGGGATGGATTTCTCTTTTCCAGGGGCTGCTGGTTGCCACTTTCTGGACTTTCCTGCTCTCCACAAAAAGAGGACGAGATGCTGGGTCTGATTCAAAACTCCCCTGCCCTAATGGTGTGAGATATGGGGTCTGACTCAGCCTTCTCTTGTCCTAGTGATGTGATGTCTCCATACTCAGCACTGTTTACAGTTGGAGCCATTCCTAGTTTGTTTCACTTGGGAGTCCACGAGAAATTACACTTTTGCCTATAAATTCTCACTGGGTTTTACGACATCACCTGGCTCACACTGGTAGCCTGGTTAGGGTGGGGATTTGTAGGCGTGAGCTGATGAAGACTAAGCTCCTTGGCCTCTGTCTCTTCCCACTCTCCTGCAGCCAAATCTGGGGTAAATGAGACAGAGGCAGATGTAGCTGGAGGGTTAAACCTTATTTTCACAATGAGGCCCTCTGGAGGTCTCCAAGTGTTCTCTCCATCTAGAGGGAGAGAAAAAAGTGGAGAGGCAGCTACATCTCCTTTTTATCTACCTTTGGAAACAGAATTAAGATGCTGCCATTGACTTCAACCTAGGAACATCATCCGGACAATTTTCCAGACTCTAGCTTTTCATTTTAAAGCCAGACTATGAGTGTGAATGTGAAATCAAACACAGAGGTAACAAATAAGCAAACAGACAGGATTGACTTTATCACTGAGCATTCAGGTCACCTGCTAACCATTCCAGGTATCTGATTCCAAAGCAAACATATCATCTAGCTATTAGGATCCTCTAGAGACACTTAAGCTGTGTGAAAGGGCAAGCAAAGATCTGTGGTATGATTGCCACTGAAGTCAAAGTCACTAAAATTTCTGGAGATGGAAATTACATTTTGTTACTTTCATGTTCAATTATTCATCATGGTTTTTCCCTTGTGCAGTTTTACAAAAATTACAATTATTTAATTGGATATACAGATAAAACTAACAATTACAGTCATTACTTTTCTCTCTGTGATGGCTACTGGGTCTTTCTGGATTATTCACCAGCCTCACTGATCCTGCAACCTTGTCCAACACCTGTGGGCATGTGCAAGTCAGCCAACTGTGCCTCAATTTCTTTGTAATAAGGTGATATGATGCCACTGATTTATTAAATATTATTATCTTCTTGGTACAGAGTTTTACCATGGTTAGAGGTAGTAGCAATTTATTAAGAATATTCTGGGAAAAATATCTAAAATAGTAATTGCATGATGCAACAAAAGCTTGCTCATCTTCACTCCACTGCTTCAACTGTAGACATACTTAGTGGAGACATGGGATGGGAAAGGACCTGTGACCTATAAGAAATATTACATTAGAGGAACTTATATTACACAGAGTTTGAACAAACTGGCCCAACTGAACTAATGCTTCCCCTCCCCACCCCACCCCCAACCCCACACCACTTGCCTGTTTTTTAAACTAGTATCCAGGCAGTCTGGATGACTTCATATTCTCAATAAAAGCTATTAATCATTGAGGTATATGGGGAAGTTGGGAGCAGTTTTCTTAATCAGAAGGTGAAACTAAAATAATTTTCATGTTGCTCTACTTACTGACATTTCTTGACTTCAAAATGAATATTATTTTCAATACAGAAGCAAAAAGAGAAAGCACTATGTTTTTCTGACTGCATGAATCTCTCTTACTCAAAGCGAGTTACCAGCTTTTATCTTTAGAAGTTGTGTTCTTGAATGTCTACACAGATGCCTACATGAATGTCTGCATGAAGACACACTTTACTTTGGTTCACATCTTTATGATGTGTTAAATTCACTGCAGTGGGGTAGACGCTGATAAAATGCCGAGGAACTCCTGGATAATTAGCTATCTTTGGGTGATTGAATAACTTTTCTCTTTCATTTCACATTATTGAACAATTTTTTGACTGCTATGTTTCACAGTTTTGACCTTATCTACTTCCCTAATGCTTTGGAGACTGTTAATAAATTTTTTTTAGGTATGTGTGTTTGTACCTGTTCAAATTGGACACCAGCTACTGGTTATCTAAACTTATACACCAGACCTCAGAAAGTTTCTAAGGAAAGAGGTCATCATGTTTTGGGGGCTTTATGGTACAGATTGCTCTCTCTATTCTTCTTGGGCATTTAGTTTGTCAATATGTAATCTAGGCAGGTTAAGCTGGGTTTCCCAAACTTGTCTGACATAAGCATCACTTGGGAAACTTTTAAAAATGCCCATATTTAGGAGTTTTCTTTAGAGTTTGATTCCATAAGTCCAGGGTTGTGCTCAGGAACATGTATTTTTAATGAGTGTCCTAGGAGGTTCTTAGGCTTAAGCAGGTTTGAAAACAGTGCTACTGAATAAAGACCAGGGTTCCTACATTCTCAGAAATGAGAGAGTCATGCAGAATTTAGATGATTAATTGAGTTAACTTAAAATAATGTTAAATAAAAAATTAAACATTCTACACATGCATTTTAAAATTGGAAAAAAATTATCTCCTCATGGTCAATGCAAAACCATAAATTTTTAAAGTGAAAGTCAGTCATGTCTGACTCTTTGAGAACCCAAATTTCTAGGTCAGAATACTGGTGTGGGTAACCTTTCTCTTCTCCAGGGGATCTTCCCATCCCAGGGATCGAACCCAGTTCTCCCACAGTGCAGGAGGGCTCTTTACCAGCTAGGCCACAAAGGAAGCCTAAGAACACTGGAGTGGGTAGCCTATCCCTTCTCCAGAGGATCTTCCTGACTCAAGAATCTAACTGCTGTCTCCTGCATTGCAGATGGATTCTCTACCAACTGAACTATCCAAGCGCCCACTTCTAAGAAGGATAATTGACAGCATCAGAAACTCTACAACTATGCAAATTTGATTCTCCCTACAGCTTCCTAGCAGTGGTCAAGATTCTGCCTGCCGATATGTGAGATGCAAGAGACACGGGTTCGATCCCTGGGTTGGGAAGATCTCCTGGAGGAGAAAATAGTAGGGCATGGCAACCCACTCCAGTATTCTTGGCTGGAGAATCCCATGGATGGAGAATTCTGGCAGGCTATATAGTCTATGTAGTCACAAAGAGTCAGACATGACTGAGCAACCCATCACATACAGCGCAGTTACTATAGATGAAATAGTCCCAGATTGGAGGTTAAAATGACCAATTTCACTCAGTCTTTTGCCTCCTGGTCCAGAAGATGGCTCAGTTGGTAAAGAATCCGCCTGCATTGCAGGAGACCCTGGTTTGACTCCTGGGTCAGGAAGATCCGCTGGAGAAGAGATATGCTATCCCCTCCAGTACTCTTGGGCTTCCTTTGTGGCTCAGCTGGTAAAGAATCCTGCAATGTGGGAGACCTGGGTTCGATCCCTGGGTTGGGAAGATCCCCTGGAGAAGGGAAAGGCTTCCCACTCCAGTATTCTGGCTTAGAGAATTCCATGGACTGTATAGTTCATGGAGTTGCAAAGAGCCGGACACGACTGAGCGACTTTCGCTTCACCAGACACATGGGCAGAAACAGACTCAATGGTCACTTTAAGTTTCATTTGGTAGTGCTGATGCTTCTTTTATCAGCGAGACCATGGACGCTGTCTGGGAAGTGTGTTTGCAAAATGTTTAATCCCTCATGAAAATCTAGAATTGCTATAGCACAGGGTAGACGTGGCTCCGCCTCGTTGGGTGACTTCATGAATATTGAACGGCTGTTTGTCCCTCCTTAGCGCTCTATTGTGAAATCATGGCCAAGCTTGTTTTTCTTGCCTGAGTTCACCACAGCCAAGCCCAGGTGGAGGGAAGACTAAAGCGACTTCTTTAAAGCACCCAGAAAAAAGGCGACTGGCTGTTTTCGTCTCAATTTTCACAATTTTATGAGTCTTTAATAGGCATTTTCTCAGAGCTTGGCAGTTTCTACATGTTTTAAAATCATTTTTACTAGCGACTTCCAAAACACACCTGTGTGAGAAGTCTGTGCTCGTAGCCATGTTTTTACAGGAGGGATATAACCCAGAGCACAAAGCGGAGAGACAGGGTTTCACTTTCCTCCTGGCTTTAAACCACAGGGATAAAATGGGAGGCCTTGCCTGTTTCTTCATGTTTGGGGTTATATAAGTTGTCGAAGAGTTGTGGTTCCAATATGCAGGTGCTTTCCTTTCGTTTCCATAAAGAAAGCCTCCTCAGAAATACGGTGGGCGGTCAGCCTGGGAAAATAAATTCTCCAAGCTATAAGAATGATTGTGTGGCTTCAAAAGAACAAAATGAAACAACAACAAACTTTAAAAAACTTTTAGAAATGACTATGGAATGATAGTTGCTGAGAATAAATTCAGCACTGGGATTTTTCTATACGGGCACATGACAAATTACAATAATGATATAATGATTTGTGTACCTCTTTTCTTTACATGGAAGGTATTTCATTTACTGAAATACTGTAAGCTCGTGATTACGATCTAAGACTTTTCATTAGTAACTTTCTGATTCTTCAACTGTCTTCTAGAAGCAGTTCCTTACCTTTGGCCTGCCAAAATACTCACAAAAGTTAATTATCGCAATTCCAAATGAGTTTCGAATATGTCATTATTTAACCCTTCTCTAACTCAATAATGCCCTCTAATCACTTAATCACATCATTTATTGGGCATTTGAAAACTTGAGTTTAAAGCCCTAATAACTCCCTTTACTCCTTACTCATTTTTACAGCACTTCAGATACATAACCATGAGGAAATGAAGCTATTAACACCAAATTAATAAAGAATAGACTCATATAAAGTAGCTTCTCTACTAAAATTTATAAGCTTATAAAAATCATAGACTTTCTCCCTGCTCCAATCAATATTAAATTAATTGACACCAGTTCTTTGCTCATTAAACAGTGTTTTCAAGAAGAAGCCATATTTTGACAAGGAGAGGGGAAGACTCAAGTTACATAAAGATTTGCTAAATTATTTTTATTATCCTGCATATGTGTTTTTACTTTATTTTTATGTGTGTGATTTTTTAAAAATAAAATTGTAGTGTTATTTTGTGACATTTAGTGTTTTTATTCCTGTCTGAGTTGGACTGAATTTAAAGATTTTCCTTCTGCTTCACCTTTTATGTATAAGGTTATAAAACACAGAGTGTGCCAATGGGAGCCCAAGTCAGTGAAAAATCTCTAATATGTGGAATGAATAAAAATGGAAAATATTTATTTATGCTTAATAACTTGTTAATTGAGGCAACTCATTTTCTTTATCAAAGCAAGAATAAAAATTCAAGTGGGCGGTCAGCCTGGGAAAATAAATTCTCCAAGCTATAAGAATGATTGTGTGGCTTCAAAAGAACAAAATGAAACAACAACAAACTTTAAAAAACTTTTAGAAATGACTATGGAATGATAGTTGCTGAGAATAAATTCAGCACTGGGATTTTTCTATACGGGCACATGACAAATTACAATAATGATATAATGATTTGTGTACCTCTTTTCTTTACATGGAAGGTATTTCATTTACTGAAATACTGTAAGCTCGTGATTACGATCTAAGACTTTTCATTAGTAACTTTCTGATTCTTCAACTGTCTTCTAGAAGCAGTTCCTTACCTTTGGCCTGCCAAAACACTCACAAAAGTTAATTATCGCAATTCCAAATGAGTTTCGAATATGTCATTATTTAACCCTTCTCTAACTCAATAATGCCCTCTAATCACTTAATCACATCATTTATTGGGCATTTGAAAACTTGAGTTTAAAGCCCTAATAACTCCCTTTACTCCTTACTCATTTTTACAGCACTTCAGATACATAACCATGAGGAAATGAAGCTATTAACACCAAATTAATAAAGAATAGACTCGTATAAAGTAGCTTCTCTACTAAAATTTATAAGCTTATAAAAATCATAGACTTTCTCCCTGCTCCAATCAATATTAAATTAATTGACACCAGTTCTTTGCTCATTAAACAGTGTTTTCAAGAAGAAGCCATATTTTGACAAGGAGAGGGGAAGACTCAAGTTACATAAAGATTTGCTAAATTATTTTTATTATCCTGCATATGTGTTTTTACTTTATTTTTATGTGTGTGATTTTTTAAAAATAAAATTGTAGTGTTATTTTGTGACATTTAGTGTTTTTATTCCTGTCTGAGTTGGACTGAATTTAAAGATTTTCCTTCTGCTTCACCTTTTATGTATAAGGTTATAAAACACAGAGTGTGCCAATGGGAGCCCAAGTCAGTGAAAAATCTCTAATATGTGGAATGAATAAAAATGGAAAATATTTATTTATGCTTAATAACTTGTTAATTGAGGCAACTCATTTTCTTTATCAAAGCAAGAATAAAAATTCATATTTAGAAAAATGTACTTTTTCTGAGTGCAAGGATGAAAAGCAAGAAAACATCTATTTTTTGAGAAATATAAAATTGCATGCAAGCATCTGTATTTTTATATAAAGGTAAACTAAATGACAAAATCAGTTAACAAGTTTTTGAATTTTTCAATGCAACCACGCATAATGTCAGGCATATTAGTATACGCTTATTTACCCAGCGATGATAACATTTTTACTTGACACATTATAAAAATATTTTATATTTGTCTCAAATTATGGATTTTCAATGATGCAATAAAAAAGTCTACATTTTAATAATTATTCACTTTTGAACACTTTTGGGGGTAAGAGCATGAGATAAGATCATTTGGTCCAAAGAAACATGAATAAACTAAAATTTCTTAGGTGGAGTTTGGTGAGGCTTTCCAAAATTAAATAGGGATGGAGTCCTTCTATGTTGAGTTTTAGATCTAGGATGATGCACTGAAATGAATTGCTCTTTGTTATCTACCTCTCTTTAAATTAGTTCTGATCATCACCATCATTACTGCAAAAGAGAGGTTCTTAAGACAACGTCTTCTTACAGAACTTTCCATGTACTTCAGCGGATGCGCCTGAGGGCCGGTGACCTATCTAGTGCTAAGACCTCTTCATGTCAGAGTGCCCTGGGTTCTGACAGGGTTTCGACACATGACTCTTGGTTTAGGTCTGACTATTTTTCAATTTCTTCTCTGGCATAACTCTGGAACTTTCAACAGTAAACATTCAAATAAGGACACTTTTTCTTTCTGTCCAGCTGAGTAAGAGAAAGGAATGCGAAGCAAACTACCTTGTACAAAATGGGTGATTTCAACTGCAGCTGGGCCTGGCTTTCGTAGGAAATGTCTAAACTCTTCATTGCATAGTGAGGTGAAGGATTTTAGCTCTAAAGTAGAGATTTCTCCCAGTTATCACAGGATCTGATACTTTAATGTGTCCTATGAGAAAGACAATGATAAAGAAACAATTAGGCATTGTTGTAACCAACTTTACTACACTTGCCCATAGAAACCCTATTTATGTTTTTCAGTATCTTGGAAACTCAGGTCCAGTCTGTGAGAGTCAATTTCTCAGGCAGGTCTTTCGAGTGAATGATCATTTCCCAAGGCAAAAGGGTCGGGCTTGGAGAGGTAATTAACCTGTAGTCATAAGCCTGATGGCATGAATCTGAAACGTGAAGCACATCACAGTCAGGGACAGAGAGTGGAAAGTGTCACCGAGACCAATCCGGTAGCAGTGATTCAAGGCATCGGCATCCACGCATCGGCCTGGACAGAAACACACTGAACCCTTCCGAAATTCACTCTCAAGGCATGCACATGCAAACAAAGAGAAACCCAAGACTCACAGTTCATTTGAATTCACAAGCGAACATTTTCAGGATGAATGTTGCTTTCACGTCGTCTTACTGATGCAGAGGGAAGCCAAACCTGTTTTTAATTGCAAAGCCAAATGGTTTATGCGTGGGCCCTGCCATGCTTGTGGGAACATGTTGCTTTTATAGCCCCCTCCCCCTCTGTGAGCACGAGACCAGGCTTGCCGGCCCTGTGTTTGAGCATGGTCTCATTGAAAAGGAGAAGCCTTGCAGGTATCTTGCAAGGGGTGGTGGTGGGGGTTGTCAATCTGTCAGAGATGTCACTGTAAGTGGATGTACCTGCCTATCTGTTACCACTTGCTAATTACGGATTTGGGTGATAATTGCCATAAATCTTGCCACAAAATGTGCCATAAAACGCATTTTCTGGGGGCAGAGAGTGATGTGTGGAGAGGGATGAAGTGCTTGGGATCAAGAGATCACAAAGCCTCGGCTGGTTCCCTGTTTCATATGCCGATGAATACACATATTGTTCCAAGTGTCAGGTTGCTTCAGGCAACATAGCTGGCATTCCATTAATGGAATGGTGAGTGTACACAGAACAGACTCTGCCGAGAAGTTTCTCTTCATATGGCCAAAAGGGCCCTCAGGAGTACCCTGTCCTCAGAACTTTCCTGGAGAGGAATAAGCAACCAAATAAATGACTAATAAAATAAGGAGCTTCTTTGTGCTTGTCAGGAGCAGACCAACCATGGAGAGGTGGCACCCTGGAAAACATTTTTGAGATGGGTCTTAAATATTTGTTGTCCCTGAGATGACTTACAGATAAGGAAAACAAAAGCCCGAAAAGAAGGCCCATGATTGAAGTCGATGCTCTTCTGTGAAGAGGCTGCAATAAAACAAGGTGGAACCTAAAATTAGCATCTGCTTCTGTGTCCAGTTCTGGAAGTTACTGCCACCACCAGTTACTGACTCATTAATGGTCACTGTCGCCTTATCTCTTTCCTATCTCTGTTTGTCAGCTCTTAGGAACGTGTGTGCGTGCACACACACACACACACACACACAGAGCTTGAAATATTAATCTCACAGTTTGCAATGTGAATCCAAATGTTGTGTGTAAGAAGCCCATCCTCCCCTTGCTGAAATAAATTGGTACCTTGGGCTGATATTCTATGAAAGGTTGAGTTTCCTTAAGGGCAGGACATGGACTTAATATACTTCTGTCCTCATAGCAGGTGCTGAATAAATATTGAGGAGTAAATAATCCCTCCCCAAAATGCCTTCCTCTGAGAAGCAGAATTTCAAGAGACCAGGAACATCTGGCCATCAGAGGCTCAGGTGTGTTCCTTGATAGTGATGCTTACGGCTCCTTAGTGTAATTAAGCAAGCAGATCTTGGCCTGAGAGAAGACCAGAAACATAGAATAAAAAATGCAATAAATAAATAAAAGAATCGGGGAAGGACTAGGGAAGGGATAGTTAGGGAGTTTGGGATGGACATGTAAGCACAGCTATATTTAAAATGGATAACCAACAAGGACTTACTATACAGCATAGGGAATTCTGCTCAATGTTATGTGGCAACCTGAATAGGAGGAGAGTTTGGGGGAGAATGGATACACGCAGAGGTATGGCCAAGTCCCTTTGCCGTCCACCTGAAACTATCACAACATTATAATCGGCTACCTGTTTCTTAGGTAGGATCAGATTGCCCTGCATTTAGTGCAATAGGATAAGGAAAAGACTATTAAATAGTGCTCTCCTCTGCAATCAGGGATGAGGGGAGGATGGATTTTACCATATATGTGCAGGAGATGCATGCAGGTGGGTGAAGAGGTGGGTATTGGGAGAACAAGGTGTAATTAATGATGTTGGTGATCAGCTGCCATCCACAAGACACCATGTTCAGGGTCTGGACGGGACAGGATGAATGACACAGGATCATCATCCAAGAGCTACTCAACGGTCCAGTGAGGAAGGGAAAATGCAGGAACAGAGTCAGCATGGAGTAAGAAATGATGTAGTGAAACCCACTTTGGACTCCAGGAACACAGGGAAGGTAGTCTAACCCAGCCAATGGGACAGAGGCTCAGGAAATGAAGGAACAGGTATGATGGATCCAGTTGCTTCAAAGCAGGAGGAGGATAATCAGTCTCATTTTCCCAAATATCCCAAGAGTTCCCACATCTCAGTGTGACTTAAGACACGTGGGGATGAACCTCAATAAAGAAGGGGTGCCTCAGAAACCCTCTTGCTATCAGGCACATGGACACTGTCAACTAGGGCCAGCTACTGAGCAGAACCAGTGCAAAATAAAAATGAAGGGCCTCCTGTTCATAAAGCAGGAGAAAAGTGTCATCAATGACACCAAGATATAAAGCCATTTTCTTTCTTCTACAGGCTCATTCTCTCAACCGGTTTCCTTGTTGTTTGCTATTTAATGTCACTCCAGGTAAAGAATATGTAAAAACTTAAACAGTTAGCATGGATTTTACCATTCAACTTTATACTGTGTGATGCCAGTTTTCAATGCAAATATGAGAATTTTATAATTTTTTTCTAATTTAATTTTTTTTATTTTGCTAACAAGGGTCCATATAGTCAAGCCTATGGTTTTTCCAGTAGTCATGTATGGCATTGAGGGTTGGACCATAAAGAAGGCTGAGCACCGAAGAATTGATGCTTTCAAACTGGTGCTGGACAAGACTCTTGAGAGTCTCTTGAACATCAAGGAGATCAAACCAGTCAATTCTGAAGGAAATCAATCCTTGAATTCATTGTAAGGACTGATGCTAAAGCTGAAGCTCCAATATTTTGGCCACCTGATGCGAAGAACTGACTCACTGGAAAAGACCCTGATGCTGTGGAAGACTGAAGGCAAAAGGAGAAGGAGGTGGCAGAGGATGAGATGGTTAGATAGCATCACCAACTCAGTGGACATGAGTTCGAGCAAAATTGGGGAGATAGTGAGGGACAGGGGAGTCTGGTGTGCTGCAGTCCATGGTGTCACAGAGGGTCGGATATGACTTAGTGACTGAACAACAACAAATAGGAATGAATTTGACTAGTATGCACAAAATTATATAATGAGTATTTCATTGCTCATATGTGCATATACAGTTTATTCCTAACAGAAGAGAAGAAGTGCTGCACTGAGGTGGGTATTGGGAGAACAAGGTGTAATTAATGATGTTGGTGATCAGCTGCCATCCACAAGACACCATGTTCAGGGTCTGGACGGGACAGGATGAATGACACAGGATCATCATCCAAGAGCTACTCAACGGTCCAGTGAGGAAGGGAAAATGCAGGAACAGAGTCAGCATGGAGTAAGAAATGATGTAGTGAAACCCACTTTGGACTCCAGGAACACAGGGAAGGTAGTCTAACCCAGCCAATGGGACAGAGGCTCAGGAAATGAAGGAACAGGTATGATGGATCCAGTTGCTTCAAAGCAGGAGGAGGATAATCAGTCTCATTTTCCCAAATATCCCAAGAGTTCCCACATCTCAGTGTGACTTAAGACACGTGGGGATGAACCTCAATAAAGAAGGGGTGCCTCAGAAACCCTCTTGCTATCAGGCACATGGACACTGTCAACTAGGGCCAGCTACTGAGCAGAACCAGTGCAAAATAAAAATGAAGGGCCTCCTGTTCATAAAGCAGGAGAAAAGTGTCATCAATGACACCAAGATATAAAGCCATTTTCTTTCTTCTACAGGCTCACTCTCTCAACCGGTTTCCTTGTTGTTTGCTATTTAATGTCACTCCAGGTAAAGAATATGTAAAAACTTAAACAGTTAGCATGGATTTTACCATTCAACTTTATACTGTGTGATGCCAGTTTTCAATGCAAATATGAGAATTTTATAATTTTTTTCTAATTTAATTTTTTTTATTTTGCTAACAAGGGTCCATATAGTCAAGCCTATGGTTTTTCCAGTAGTCATGTATGGCATTGAGGGTTGGACCATAAAGAAGGCTGAGCACCGAAGAATTGATGCTTTCAAACTGGTGCTGGACAAGACTCTTGAGAGTCTCTTGAACATCAAGGAGATCAAACCAGTCAATTCTGAAGGAAATCAATCCTTGAATTCATTGTAAGGACTGATGCTAAAGCTGAAGCTCCAATATTTTGGCCACCTGATGCGAAGAACTGACTCACTGGAAAAGACCCTGATGCTGTGGAAGACTGAAGGCAAAAGGAGAAGGAGGTGGCAGAGGATGAGATGGTTAGATAGCATCACCAACTCAGTGGACATGAGTTCGAGCAAAATTGGGGAGATAGTGAGGGACAGGGGAGTCTGGTGTGCTGCAGTCCATGGTGTCACAGAGGGTCGGATATGACTTAGTGACTGAACAACAACAAATAGGAATGAATTTGACTAGTATGCACAAAATTATATAATGAGTATTTCATTGCTCATATGTGCATATACAGTTTATTCCTAACAGAAGAGAAGAAGTGCTGCACAAAACTAGCTGAACTGTTTCTATTTTACTTCTTAATTCATGCACATTCAAGCAACTTGCTTGCCTTGTACTCTCTTTGAGTATTTCTGAATTCCATACATCATGGGTCACAAAATTGATACATGGATGAGATAACAAATGTTGGAGGATACTCATTGTGTGTGTTTCCTCTGCTCACACATATTCTCCATCATCTCACTGGATGCCACTTACAAAACCCCCTTTCCAAGGAACAATTATGCGTATGAAGGTTTTGAGAGGGTAACAGCAGAGCCTAATCACACAGGGGGTCCTTCTGAGCGTGAGGTCTGCGGTGATGGTACAGGTTTGCAAGTCCACAATCCTAGCCTTGCTGTCACACAATTCCATCTTGGACAACAAAACGAGGCCAAAAGATCAGATAGGAATTCTCTGTTCTTTGACTCTTTAGGCTGAGAGATCAACCATCCTTTATCTTGCAAAAATCCAAACCAGGAATACAAACTGACAAATCAAAAAGAAGGATAATCACTGACCAACATTTATTAAGATGGACGTGGACAGGAGACCAGCTGGGTGTGCACACAGAGGTTTGATCCTCCTGTCCATCCTCTTGGTTTTCTGCGCTGATGGCTTGTATTTCCTGGCTGATAACAACAGCGTAAGAATGAGAGTCTCCTGTCTTTCTTTTCTGAGAACTTAGAGGATAAGATGAGGACTCTGGGGAATGGTGGAGAAGGAGCATCTAGGAATATGCCTCACTGCTTTCTTTTTCTCAAAATCAACATGCTTGCATAAGTTGATCTTCCCGGGCCAGATTTCCAACCACAGGTACTGTCCCAGGCAACTTTTGGTTCAGTTTCCTCCTGGTCAATCATTCTCTTTAATTTCACTTCCTAGGATACTGTATGCATTTTCCTGAACTCTCTGGTGCTCAAATCTCAGTTGAATTATCCTTGGAAACCTCACATGTTTATAGATGTTGCTTATTCTCCTCTAATGAATTAGAGTTTCGCCAATAATTTCAAATCACTAACTTGATTTACACAAGCTCTCAACCACCTCAAAGACTCGCTTGCTCAGACTTTACCGGCTATGGGTTTTCATCTCATCTAGCTGAGTGACAGGGAGATGCTTTTTGTCCACACCTTCAGATTTATATTAAGAGTATGTGAAGATCAAATTTATTATAAATGCATATTTAAAACCTACAAGCAGCTTCATGAGAGTGATAGTTACAACCTTTATATTCAACATATATCAATGGATATGAAAAATGTTATGTTATAATAGAGTTCTCTCTTAGGAAGCAAAGGTCTGGGTTTACATACAGTTTAACCAACATTCAGTTAGGTGACCTTTGTGTTGGTGATGGATCCTAGTCTCCTCACCAGTGAAATGGGAAGAATAATATTACTTCTAGTATCTTTATAGAGAGAGTGTGACAGCTCATTAGTGTTAAGTATTGTATGTGGAGGAAATGTTGCAACTGACCAACGAGTAAGCCTATCACAGTACTATTATGATCAACTACTGTAACCTCAAAACTGTTAATGCAGTTGTTGTTTAGTCATGTCTGACCCTTATGACCCCATGGATTGTAGCCCACCAGGCTCCTCTGTCCATGGGATTTCCCAAACAAGAATACTGGAGCGGGTTACTGTTTCCTACTCCAAGTGATCTTCCCAACCCAGGAATCGAACCTAAGTCTCCTGCATTGGCAGGCAGTGTTTTTACAGCTCAGCCACAAGGGAAGCCTGCAATCTCTGTATACAAAGCATATTGAAGATCTGATTGAATTTACACCCACCAACCCCTTTTTTTCCTGCCATTCTACCATCAGAGATATTGATCAGATACCTAGCTTTAAAAATATTTCCAGAGTGTACTTTCTCAATAAAACATCAATTCTCTCTTTCGTGTCTTATATGTTCTATCAGTACCTGAAATATTTACTTCTGGAGTCTTGCTCAATTGTTTCAAGGAAGAAAGAGGCCTATAAATGGATTCCGAAGTTATCTTAAACAAAATCTAACTTGTTCTTCTTTACATAATACAAATTCCATTTAGTTGTTAGTTCGTTCCAGAAGGGACATTTAATCTAATTGGCCATTTTAGAGTTAAGATTCTTTACCCAGAGAGGAGAGCAGACCTCTCCTTATCTCTAGGACATGAGTTTGCATAAAAATAGTGGTGCAGCTGTTGGGAGGACTTTTGAGCTCCCATAGCATCTCATTCAGACAGAAAGACCACCAGAAGACAGGAAGTGGGACTACTCAGGAAAGCAGTTCATGTTCAAGATTTCGGAAACTTCAGTCTCGGAGAAACTTGTAGCAAGGCAAGGAAGATCTTAACTGTCTTCCCTCTTAGGTTTTTAAAGGTTTTTGAAAGCTATTCTTTTGAGGGATACTGGAAGCAAGTGGATACTTATGTCAACTCGAGAATGTGTCAAATCCTTTTCATTTTATTTTTTTAAGCAAAGTAATTTTTTTAAAAGAGGAGGTGATAGAGAAGAATAAAGAGCAAGACTCACCAAATTCAATAAATTGGGAACAATACTCAATAAAAAGAAGATAATTTCAATTTATATGCACTGAACAAGAATTTGGGGGCAAGGTGTGAAGGTCATCTGTCCTCTAAACTTATGGCTGAATAACATTCCATTGTGTGTGTGTGTGTGTGTGTGTATAAACACACATATATATGTATATATATCTAATCACAGTTTCTTTATTCTGTCAACCATAGATGGACACTTAGACTGTTTCCTTATCTTGGCTATTGTAAATAGTGCTGCTGTGAACACAGAAGGGCAGATATCTTCTCAAGTTAGCGTTTTTGTATACTTTGGATATATCTCCAGAAGTGGAATTGCTGGATCATGGGGTAGTTCTATTGTTAATTTTTTGAGTAACCACTATACTGTTTCTCAAAATGACTGCATCAACTCACACCCCACCAACAAAACATATGAGGGTTCCCCTTTCTCCATGTCCACACCAATATTTGTTATTGCTTGTTTTTTTGATGTTCAGTTTAGTTACTCAGTCCAGTCTTGTCTGACTCTTTGTGATCCCATAGACCAGCATGCCAGGCTTCCCTGTCCATCACCAACTCCCGGACCTTGCTCAAACTCATGTCCATTGAGTCCATGATGCCATCCAACCAACTCATCCTCTGTGGTCCCCTTCTCCTGCTTCAACTTTTCCAACATCAGGGTCTTTTCCAATTAGTCAGTTCTTTGCATCAGGTGGCCAAAGTACTGGAGCTTTAGCTTCAGCATCAGTCCTTCCAATGAATATTCAGGACTGATTTCCTTTAGGATGAACTGGTTGGATCTCCTTGCTGTCCAAGGGACTCTCAAGAGGCTTCTCCAACATCACAGTTCAAAAGCATCAATTCTTCAGTGTTCAACTTTCTTTACAGTCCAACTCTCACATCTATACATGACTACTGGAAGACCTTTGTTGGCAAAGTAATGTCTCTGCTTTTTAATATGCTGTCTGGGTTGATCATAGCTTTTCTTCCAAGGAGCAAGCATCTTTAAATTTCATGGCTGCAGTCACAATCTGCAGTGATTTTGGAGCCCATGATGATGGTGGCTGCCTAATTCTTTTCTGAATCCACACATTCCATTCCTAACTATTCTATTTTCTGTTCATCCTTTTCAATTTTCCCACTCTATCAAGCCTGTTCTCTCACCCATCACTTTACAGGACCCACTCCCAAACCTATTGAAATTGCTCTTAAAAACAAAAATCAGTGCTCGCTTTGGCAGCACATATACTGGAATTGGAACGATACAGAGAAGATTAGCGTGGCCCCTGCGCAAGGATGACATGCAGGTTCATGAAGCGTTCCATATTTTTAAAAAAAATATATAAAAGAAAAAATAAAACAACAAAAATCACCTTATCTCTAAAAGCTGTTCCCAAACTTATTATCATGAGTTTCCACTCCCCGTATCTCATTTACCTGTACCTTCCAGATATCAAGTAAGGGATGAAAACATGGATGAGAACAGGTGGTCAGATAGCATGAGACAGAACAAGGAGATGGATGGTTGGGGTGAAATGATCATTTCAACAGCTGAGGAATCTGAGAAAATGAATAGAAGATGGAACCAGCAGTCCATGGAGACACAGAACAAACAGATTATAGAAGCAGACGTCAGGGTACCAATTAGCTGAGATTTCACCTGGGAAAGCAACTTAGGCAGAAGTCGTGATGGTGGTCAGTAACCCTGTGGTTACTATGCTACATTTGGAACTATAACTCATATGCAAAGAAATCAGTTTAGTTTGGAGACAGGTCACTCACAAAGTATTTGTTTGCTGATCCATGTATTTAATGCCAAGTAATTCTATGCAGAAACATTCTTTTCCCTCCAAATATATTTGCAGCAGTTCCTGTGTAAACATATTCTTTATTACATACACGCCTAAATTTATAATTTTGCCTTTCATTTTACTATAAGAATTTCAAACGGTCCCAAGCCCATGACAAGGCTGGTTGCCAATACTGTTTGCTCTCCTGGGTTAATGTTAAGCCACTGGTGAATGCTTTCTAGATGCCTCTGTCCAGTCAGCTGTGCACCCCCTGAATAGCTGTTGGCTGAGATTAGATCTCCCCAGTCTGTTGATGAGAATGTCAGGTAGGACAGAATCAAAGGCTTACAGAAGTCTAGAGAGATTACATCTATTGCATCCTTTTTATCTACAAGGCCTGTCACTCTATCATAGAAGGAAATTAAATTGGTTTGGCATGATTTGTTCCTCTAAAAGCCATGGTGGTTGCTACCCAGTCCGTTACGTTCTCCTAGGTGATTGCAAATTGATCATTTTGATGATTTATCTTAGTAACTTCTTTGGCACTGTGTTTTAGGCTGACCGATATTTCCTTTTCCTTCTTTTAAAGATGGACATTGCATTTACCTTTTTCTCTTCTTTAAGTCTTTCCCTTGACACGTGTACATTAAAAAAAAAATCATGTCTGGTTGAGGTCTGACTACATATTCTAAATAATGGGTTCGTACATTGTTACACTCTGTCATTTGTGTTATTTTTACCAATTGGCTATTAATTCAGTCCATATTAATTCATTCCATCTGTCACTCTATTGAGTCACTTACTCAATGTCTGTTGAGAATTTAGGACCTGGGAAAGCAATAAATATGTCGACAATGAATTCATAAGCCTCTATGAGAAATTTACAGTCAAGTGCAGGAGACATATGGATAAAGAGATGATTATAATACAGTTCTCAAAGCATTGTAATAAGGGTGAGTAAGACAGAACACCTACAATAGGCATTTGTTCCAATAAATCAGGGAGTCCTCCCAGAGGAGGTGACATCTAAACTGAGTTCTCATGGCTGAGCAGGAATTCGTAGGTGTTAGGGCAAGTGATGGGAAGAGAAAGTGTAAGACAGAGAGAAAGAGATTCTAGACAGAGGGCATCAAAATTACAAAGATAAAGATATGAAGGACTTCCCTGGTGGTCCAGTGTTAAGACTTCACCTTCCAATGCAGGAGGCACAGATTGAATCCTTGGTTGGGGAGCTAATATCCAATATGCCTCAAGGTCAAAAAACCAAAAGATAAAAACAGAAGCAGTATTGTAACAAATTCAGTAAAGACTTTAAAAATTGTCCACATCAAAATATCTTTACAAAAAATGACAAAAGGCAATTAAAAAAAAAACAAACAGATAAGGCTGTGAGGATGTAGTGAGTTTGGGGAATCATGGTTGACAGTTCAGGGGGATGGGAATATAGACTCTCTGCTTCTAGGCCCTGGGGAGACAGGTTGATGATGGAGCTGAGGAGTGTAGTGCTGACAGACCTAAAGATCTTGAAAGGCAACAAAGTCAGCATGGGATTCTTCCTGAGCACAGTGGAGGGTATTCAAGCCTCGTTCAGCTAATTTTTAAATGAGTGCCTATTGTTTTAATAATATGATGGTCTTAAGTACCAGAAGGAGATAGAAAAAAAAAAGTTAGGGTATAATCTCACTTCTAAAGTACCTTGCAAACTACTCACAGGGACTTTTAGACACAAAACAATTAAAATACAATATAAGTCACTTAGGGAAGGGCTCAATGGGTCTCTCAGAGAAGAGTTATAGGGACTTCTGAATGAGCAGTCTTGAGTTAGGATTGACCTATTTTATTTAAATTAAGATAAAGTAAGAAGTATCTCTGACTTCAATTATTTGGAAAGTTTCCAAACAGCACATGTTCAAAGTATAAATGATTCCTGTGTTCCTAGATTGTTCACTCCCAGCTGCAGGCTTGGTTTCCCAGTATTCTTTGTCCCCACTGCCATAGCAACAACTAAAAAAAAAAAAAGACAAAGGAAAATGCAAAAAGGGTTACTTTTTCTTTTGATAATGAAAAATAGTTCAAAACAACCCCTGTGCTAGCCTGGAGAAAGTTTTAAAAAGTCTGCTTGAAAGGAGTGGAGAGAGGAATACGAGATGAATGACTGATTTAGGATTTGAGAGAAGATGAAAATTTAGGGTAAGAATCTCAATATCAGTTTTGTTTTTTTTTACCCTACTCTTTTTCCTTCTTTCTCTCCCAGATATCAAGAGAGCAAGTAGCACTTTTGACAGTGTTGTGAGGCTAAGAAACATGTATTGATGAGCAGGACTTACTCAAGCTACAGACACCTGTGAACAACTCTTAACTCTAGTGAGGACCCTGAGGGTTGCATCCTGGGAATGTGGATGAATCCAAAGTAGCTTCAACAACCAGAGGAGCTCAGCTTTGTACCAGCTCAGTCCACAATGTGCTTCCCAGGTGGCACTAGTGGTAAAGCATCCGCCTGCCAATGCAGGCGATGCAAGAGAGGCCTGATCAATCCTTGGATCGGGAAGATCCCTTGGAGTAGAAAATGGTGACCCATTATAGTCTTCTTGTCTGGAAAATTCCATGGACAGAGGAGTCTTGTGGGCTACAGTTCATGGAGTCACAAAGAGTCAGACATGTCTTAGCATGCACAATACACAATATCAGATTAAGAGATTCCTGGAGTATTAGTACTTCAGGCACATTTGAGACTCAGACATAAAGATTCTTTCTAGAGGAAGACGATGTCTGTCTTGGTCTTAAACTTTTTCTAAAATAGTTTGAACAGGAAGGCATAAGACAACAAGAAGGAAAACTGATAGATACATCAGATAACAGAAATAGAACCATGGGTGCTCCAGATACTGGAGTGTTCCAACATAGACCCTAGCGGAGCCCTACCTTCTCTGCTCAAAGAAGGAAACTTGATAGAGAACTTGAAAACGTAGCAAGAATTCAAATGAAAATTCTAGAATTGAACTAAAGAATCTGAAAATGATCTCATATGATTTTAATAATAAATTATATTTAGGTTAAATTGTGTCCAGGGAAGATCCCCTGAAAGAGGGCATGGCAACCCACTCCAGTATTCTTGCTTGGAGGATCCCATGGACAGAGGAGCCACATAGGCTACAGTCCATGGGGTTGTAAAGAGTCAGACATGATTGAAGCGACTTAACATACACACACATAATGTCAAGATACCACTGAAAAAAAGACAAAAAGACTCTTGATGCAGGTTCAAGAAACCCTATGAGCTCCAAGCAAGACAATTAAAAAGAAAACCACACTTAGTTATACCAGAAGAATATTACAGCCAGCCACAGCCAGAGGGAGCAAAAATGAGACAGGTTGCCTTTAAAAGAATAACGATTAGACTGACAACTGAATTCTCAGTAAAAAAAAAAAAATCTAGAAGACAATAGAATGATATACTTGAAGTGCTTAAAGAAATAACTCGTAACCCAGATATCTATACCCTCTGAAAATAACTTTTAGGAGTAAAACATATTTTCAGACAAAAGTGGGGATAATGCATCATCAGTAAAACAGCAGGATGTTCTCCAAGTCAATAGAATAATCATAAAAAAATAGATGTTTTGAATTGAATTAAAATGAAAACACAAGATACAAAACTCTGTGGGATATAGCCAAAGTGGAATTTAGATGAAAACATACAGAATTTAGCAACAAGTTAGAAAAGAGTTTACATGACTTATCAATTTACAGTAATTCATTGAGTTAAATATTTATATTTTGTGCACTTTTCTATATATATGTTATGCTTTGCAATTACCTTTGTTTTTTAATGGGTGGAAGAAAAGAAGCTACAGAAATCAGGAGTATCTTAGGTGGAAGTGAACTTGGGGCTAGAATTCTAAGCCCTCAGTTGTCTCCTCCCTAAACCACCTTTTTTCTCTCTACTTCCTTCTGCACTATTACCTGTAATTTCAGCAATTACAGCTGTATTCTAGCATACTAAATATTTTCTGTGAAAATATAAATACTTCTGGTACTTTGAAGGACTGTTGTCACACGTCTCTTATTTCCCGATTCCAGAATTCTAACAAATCTACAATGACACATTTTCATTTTCTGGGATAAATCGTCTTTCCTGAACCAGACAGGAACTTAGTTATCATTTGTAATATTGTTTCTGTAGAGATTAAATTCAGATTTTAAATTCCAAAACAAAGTATTGGAATGTGATCTATTTATCATTTGGAGAAATGCATATAAGGGAGAATTGAGAGGATTTGAATTTGAATGAACTGGACTAAAATTTTATTTCTATTCATTACTAACTACTTTTTACTGTGAGAAAAAGTATTTCTCAGTACGCATTTATGAGACTCATTTTTCTCATTTGTAAAATGTGGACAGAAATAGCTATCCCCCCAAATGTCATGGGGCTCAAATGAGATAAAACACTGTATAAAGGTGAAAAATAAATCTTTAAATTTACTAAGAATAAAATTGGATTTAAGAGACAAAACTGAGTAATAGTTGTCATGCAGGCATGCTCAGTCACGTGACTCTTTGCAACCCCATGAACTGTAGACAACCAGGCTCCTCTGTTAAAGGAATTTTCCAGGCAAGAATACTGGGGTAGGTTGCCATACCCTCATCCAGGTGATCATCCCAGCTCAGGGATTGAACCTACATCTCTTGCATTGCAAGCAGATTCTTTTACAGCTGAGCCACCATCAGGTA